GGGCCCGGGACCGACGGCGCCTTCGCCGGGGGCCCTTCCTCCAGGCTCTGAGAAGAGGAGCCCTCGCTCTTGAAATCCAGCGCCGGCCGCTCTTCCACGGCGAAAGCGGAAGACAGCAGCGCAGCCGGGCCAGGAAGGGGCGCTGCTGGAGGGGCAGGCGGCAGGCCGCTTTTCGGGGACAGCTTTTTCAGTGGCTGGACGACTTTGTTCTCCTGCGGCAGCGCGGGGCCCCTCCCGGGGCTCTCCTTTGGGGAGGCGGCTAGGACCTGAATGCCGTCTTTGGGGGACTCCCCTGTCACAGCGGTGGGACACCGAGCGTGTTCCTGGGAGGCGGCCTTGGCATTTTTGGGCAGATGCTTACTTGGAAGTTCAGTGGCAGCGCCTGGCGAGCAGCCCTCCGGCGGGGACAACCTCTTGCTTTCCACTTGGTCTGCCTTTGATTCTTTTGACCACGGCTTCAGTGGGGAGAATGTCCCGTTGTCCAAAGAGGGGATTCCGCCAGAGGGCAAAAGCACCTGTTTAGAATTCTTAAGGTTCCCGCTGTTGCCCTGTGAGACACCCCCAGTCACTCTGACACAGAGGCTCCCATTCCTCAGAAGCCCTTTTGTGGGGTCAGCATTCACACTGGTTCTTGGTTTGTTGGTCCTTACAGGGTGTGTTTTTTTCTGGACCAGGCTCAGAATGTAGCCATCCATTTTCTTACTGGACGATGGATGGGGAGCAGACCACAAACTGCTTGGAGCTGGTAAGGAAGTGTCTGTCTTGATGGCGTCCAGCTCAGATCCCACACAAATGTCACTGGCATGGTTACCAAGCCTCTCCTCTTCCCTCAGAGGGTTGCCCGTCAGGCAAAGGAGAAACATTGGGCTCTGCACCGCCACGGCATGAAGAGGACTGGGATAGCGATACACATCATTCCCGTTTTTAGACACCAGATCACACTGGTACTTGGGATTCACATCTGCAATGATACCAAGGGAATTAAATTGTGATGTGGATTGGGAATGGCAAACTGCCCCCGAGGCCTGGTCTTCACAGTGGCCTTCTTTATATTCCAACCATCCTATGAGATCTGAAAGACATTTAAAGGTACACTCTGAAGAAGTGAATTGGTCAGCGCCGGCTTGACGCAGGCCAATTTCTATGAAAACGAATTCAGATAGAGAATGCTAAAGAGTCCACAACTATTCCTAGAAGCTACTATACTCTTTTACATACAGTCCATACTACTGGATGAGGGAAGAAAGATTTAACAAAGAAATGTGTAGCAAGAAATGATACATCCTCAGCCGTTAAAAATATTTTTAAACTACTGAATAATATGGGGAAAATCCTTTAAAGTTTAGTGAAAATCATGATATAATACCAGACTATGATTATAATTTTATTGGCTGTATACATGCAAAGAGAAAAGTCTTAGATGAAGCACACCAAGATGCCGATGGTAGCACTGCACGGTAGAAAGCAAGGGAGATTTACTGCATTTCCTATTTTCTAAATTTTCAGTAAGTATGCACTGCACTTATAACTAGGAAAAAAGCCATTTTTTGAATCATTCTTTCTCTGGGCTACTCTACCCTCCGTATTCTATTCCTGGTTTCCTTTTGAAATACTGCAGATAAACTACTTTCTGAGAGCCTTCTCCTCATTTCCTTTTTTTTTAGACCTACTACTTAATGACATATGTTTGGTATAACTGTCAACTGGAAATTAAAAGAAACTGATCAAATTTCAATGGAGACTAACCAAATATAAATAATAATCACCTTATACTTTCAATAGTGACACTAAAAAAGAAAATAATATTTTTAAATAGGAAGGGATTCTTGATAAGGTTTTAAAAGATTGAGTTGTAGTATTAATGAATAAATTTTCCACATCTCAAAAATGTAGATGCCAAAATACAATGAAATCAAGCTTTCTTGCTTAATTAAATGATTTTGATGTCTTACCTTGGTGACTATTCTAAATAGCAAGTGCCTTTAATGAACTTCAGCTAAGGAAAATCAAAGTTTTTATCACTAATATATCCCGTATTGTATTTTCTCAAATATTAAAAACCTACTATGTGCCAGAGTCTATGTAAATTGCTTAATTTAAGGGAAAGCTCCATGACCTTCAGTGATAATTAGCAGTCCTGGGGAAAAATACATTCTGGACCCAGAAATGCTATGATTCATTTGTAAAGAAAAGATTATTATAAAGTAAAAGTGCTGTGTCCCTACCCCCTCCACCTCCACTTCTAATAAATAGCTAATTGTAAGAAATGGAAACCTTTCTACCTAATATCGTTGCCCATCCCTCTTCCTCCACTACTCTATCTTCACCCTACATTTAAGCACTGCCCTACATTTACCTACACTTTACCATTCTCTCCCTGTTCCCTACTTAGAGTTAAGGAACAAGACAGACCTCTCAGTCCCCAAGGCCCAGTACAACTGTCTCAATTATGTGAAGATGTGGCATTTGGGAGATGGGGGTCTGTCTTCAAGGAAAACCTATACCAAAGCGCCTTTGATGGGTTTTAAAGTTTCCCTCTGAAACCAGATCTGCAGAGTGAAGGGGAGCAATTACCAATGAACTTGAGGCCTAGACACTCTAGATAACACAGATTTGTGCTTCCCCAAATGATTGCTGCTGACAGCACACAGTACAAACACAAAGAAACCAGCCAGTTAGCGGCCTCAGTTGTGTGGCATTACGTTTGCATTGCTCAGATCTCGAAAATTCAGCCTTTCCACCGAAGTGGAGGACACAGACCAACCGAGAGTGCAATGACTTGTGCACCTACAGCTCCTCTCCATGTTTTCTCTGCTCTTCTGAGGAACTACAATAAAGCAGAACTACGCAAGGAGTCCCAAGTTTCAGCAACAACTCTGCCATTCAGCAAATGAGGAGCCTCTGACAAACTCTTTTTATAAAACCAAATTCCTCCTCTGTTCAGTGAGAAGGTCGAACACAGCAATTTCTGAATTCCCTGGGTGTGGTGGAAAAAACTTGGACCTGGCAGTTAGTCCCGAGCGTGAATCCTGCCTCTGCCACTCACTAGCTATATAACCTTAAACAATTAACCTAACCTCACTGGACCTCATTTTTCTGAGACATAAAATGGAGCTAACGATACCTGCATACCCTGCAGAACTACTGGGAGGATTCAAAGGAGATAAATGTATGCAGAGCATTCGGTACAGTGTGTGACATACAGTGGAAATGCAGAAACTCTTCCAATACCAACAACAGCATGACTCTCTCTGGAGGTCACTGCAAGGATAACCCAAAATGGGGAACAGTGGCACATGGCCCAGGGGAATCTCACCCCACCCACCTGCTAGAAGAAAAGACAGCTGCCATCGTGCAAGACATTGTAGAGAACCTGGAGGGGCCACTGCTCCCTGAAGTGCCAATCAGTCTGACATATATTTAACTTAGTGTAAGTTTGAGCTTTAAATGATTAAAAGAAGAAAAAAACATCCAAAGTGGTTTTCAAGAGAAAATGCAAACAAGTTAAACTAACGGCAAAGGCTCACAAACAGAGCCCAAGATCTGTAATATTGTGACAGGATTTCTAAAGATAAGCTATCTTGCCACCATCAGCTAACTGGTCCCCAAAGAGGACTTGAATAGTGGTCATCATGGTTCTAGATCAACTATGTCATGAAATGTAACACGTTGATGAAATTCTCTGACCTTCTGTTTTTCTATCAATAGAAGGGGTTGAAGCTAGATAATCTTTAGGGGCCTTTGACCCCTTCCAATTAAAAATGTCTATCAAGGGACACCGGGGTGGCTCAGTCATTAAGCATCTGCCTTTGGCTCAGGTCATGATCCCAGGGTCCTGGGATTGAGCCCCACATCGGGCTCCCTGCTCGGCGAGAAGCCTGCTTCTCCTTCTCCCACTCCCCCTGCTTGTGTTCCCTCTCTCGCTGTCTCTCTCTCTCTGACAAATAAATAAATAAAATCTTAAAAAAAAAAAATGTCTATCAATGCTAAAAAGTCTTACCTGCAGATTTGGGGCAACCATCGGAGATCGTCAAGGTTGCCTCCAAGGGGCTGCAAAAGCAGGTACTGGAATGACAACTGGATAAACACTCACTGAAGACCGAGTTAGAGGAATTGGAAAGGGATCCTGAAGCCCCATCACTCAGCTCATAAAACCCTACAAATAAAAACACCATTTGGAACTAAGATCATGTCAAGCAATAGTACACATTTGTGCTTAAAAGGAAAAGGGTTAATCAACTAGGAAAGGTAGGAAAGGGAGGTTTTGGTGGGGGGGGTCAATTTTGGTTCACTGGATTTAGCATTGTGACTGTATGGTTTTATTTCAAGCGATTCTGAGGAAAAGGCAAAAAGCCCATATCTATGGATACATTTCAAAGTTACTCTCACCCTCAAATCGACCGCCCTCCTTGACCCCACCTTTAAAGATGGGCAAGGAAAGAGACTTAGATCTGTCAAAGCCTCAACTTTATCATGAATGTCTCAGAAGGAATAATTTGAAGAAAAAAACAAATCTATTTAAGGAGCCAAATGGCTTAAAAGGGGAAAAAAAAAAAAAACTTTTGAAGTGGTCTCAGGAAGTTGAAGTGTGACTAATTTTCTAGCCCAGTTCTGACTTTCTCAAGTTTCAAAGGAGGACTGCTCTTCCAGAAATTTGAATAGAAGCTTTTATTTTTAAACTCAGGGGACTCCAGTCAGATCAATCTCATTATTAAAAATTTTGTCATCTGGTTTTATTTCCCTCTCATACAACTGAATGGCAGACTGCTTTTTTTTTTTTTTTTAATTCTCTCTGCCCTAGAAACAAACTCCATTGCCATTTGCAGGTCTGGGAATGCTAAACCCAGGGGGCTGAAGTAGAACTTGAGTGCAGAATTCTGTCCGTGTGCTCACACACTCACCTGAGCTGGGCCGACTGTCTGTCTCCAGGTGCTCTTCAGATGTCTTTTCTACATCTAGTCTCAGGTCACTTATCTGCTTGTCAAGTTCTTGCAACTGATTCAACAAACCAGCATCTCTTCTCCTCAAACAATTCTGATTAGGAAGAAACACAGAAAGGAAAAATGAACACATTTTTGGTCACAAAGAACCAGAAAGCCTGCTCTTAGTATTCAGATTACCATTTAAAGAGTTCACTAAATCTTCCAAAACCAAAATTTTACTGGATGACCTGAAATTTAAAAAAAAAAAACAAACTTCAAGAATATTTCCTATGTTTCGTTTCACTTTCTTAGATTTTGTGGTGCTATAAAGTTTCTCCATAAAAACAGGACTTGCTTTTTGTATAAACGAATATATACAAACTCACTTTTTATAGGTAAGGATAAGAAAAGCTTTTTTTTTTTTAATTTTTTTAAAAAGATTTTATTTATTTGACAGAGAGAGAGACAGCAAGAGAGGAAACACGAGCAGGGGGAGTGGGAGAGGGAGAAGCAGGCTTCGCGCCGAGCACGGAGCCCGATGTGGGGCCCAATGTGGGGCTCGATGTGGGGCTCGATCCCAGGACCCCGGGATCATGACCCAAGCCGAAGGCAGACGCTTAAGGACTGAGCCACCCAGGCGCCCCAGAAAAGGAGGGTTTTTTTTAACCCTCTGCATACAACCAATTTTTTACAAAACCATACTTCACAGTAGACTCTTTAATTTGAAGTCAGAGTGTAAGATATTTCCTACAATATACTCTACTCTTACTTAGGTGAGATTTTCTGGCCGAATGTCCCACAGAGTTTTGTTTTCTATTAGTTGCTTTGTGGGGTTTAATCAGTCTTAGGGCCTTTGAAAGTGAGAAACTAATACTAATAGCCAGTGCCAAGTATAACGTGAGCTGGCAAAATCCAAAACCCTCAAGGGAAGGTCCATCAAGATTTGAATTCAACTCAGGTTTCCAAAGGTGACAGATCTGTAGTGCTAACTCACACCGCCACCTAGTGCTTCCTACTGCTGGGAAAGCAAAAGAACTAAAAAGGCATCTGGTTCAAATCATGAATGCCAAGTCTACAAATGAAAAGAGTGCCACAAACACTGACTGGACTGAAATTCTCCTGACATGCTGCCTTGCATGAGGAGAATGTGGCGACAGGAATGTGCCACTCACAATCTTGAAACTCGTGAAGAGAAAAAGGTGCTATCGTACAAGACTGCATAAAATGTCAATGACCAGGCATAACCAGCAAGAATTGACTCAAATCCACGTTACACATGAATCTGGTCTGCTACCAAAAAAAAAAAACCAGTAAAATGCCAAAAAGGTAGTGTACAAACCAGGATACATCTTTAAAAAAATAGATGCATAGGAATATTATTCCTCCTGTCTGACCTTTGATTTAAAAAGCTTGTAGACAAAACCGTATATGCATTGTTTGCTAGAATGAGTTTCTTCAGGAAAAATGAACCAAAGTAAAAGCACTTTGATGCCGGAGAGAAAAAGGGAGAGAGGAGAGAGAAAAATTATCTGAAAAGAGATAATACAAGAAACCCCTTGACAAATAACCACATGGCATCACCTGTGTTCACTATTGTAGGAGGGACATTATCTAGCATGTGTCTAGTTTCAGACAGTATCACATGGTCAGAAAAAGATTTTTTCCTCTCTGTTTTCAAAACTACATTTTTGAGGTCACCATAACAAAGCTGCCGCCATTATTCTGAGGCGGGGTCAAAAGCTGTTCATCAATACATTGAGCGCCAAAGTTCTTTTTCTTCCCCATTAATGCAGATGGCACAGAATGACTGAGACACTGACGGAAATCCATTAAGATAAATGTTGCCTAAGAGCAGGTTCTCTCTCTCCCACCTCCACCACCGGTCACATACGAGAGGACGGGGCACTCTCTCCAGCCAAATTTCTATCATTTGTGTGTTTTCGCTGCCTCATACAAAGGGCTTCTATTTGAAATCAAGCAGCAGCCCAGGCAAAAGCTGGCAGGCCGAGAGCCCTGGGAGGGGCAGGGCTCCCTACGTGCGCTTCCGCGAAATCGTAAAATTCAGCCTTGGACAGTTAACCTCGCCACAAGCCCCCTCCTCGGCTTTTGTCCCCTCTCGGCGGGAGGACACGAAGCTCAGAGCTCCAAATGAAATGGTTATTTTAAAGGAGGGTTTGCAAACATTCGGGGAGAGGGCGTTGCATTCGTCCAACTAGAGAGGTTGAAGGTTACAACCAGGCGACTCCAAGAACCCCGAAGGCAGCGCCAGGAGGGGAGCGCTGCCACCCCCTCCCGGCAATCCGCGCGGGGTCGCCAGCCCCTCACCTGACACAAAGCGGGCACACGCCAGAAACGCGTGGGCGCCGGCGGCCCACGCAGGAATGGGGGTCCCGGAACCGGGAGAGTCCCCCCAGCCGGAGGCACCCTCGCGCCCACCCCAGACCACCTGCCGAATCCCAGCCCCTGTGCAGGGACATCCGTGCCCCTACCTCCAGGCACGACCTACCAATTGCTTCCGCAGCAGCAAGATATTCTCCTCCAAGAACTTCTCCTCCAGGCGGCTGCGTTGCACCGCCTCCGCCGGCAGCTCCCCAGCGCGGGGCGCAGCGACTCCCGAGCCCCCGGCGCCACGCAGGGCGCCCCGAACCAGCAGCTCTTGGCGCTGGCGCAGGTACTCCAGCTCCGCCAGCCCGGCCAGCGTGGCCTCCTGCCGCTCCCGGG